AGTGCAGTATACCAGATGAGATTTGGCAATGGCAGATTGGATGGAATAGTTGCAAATTTTGTCTCAAATAAAACATTCCTGTTAATACATATTAGAGCAGCATTTTCTTTTTTAAAAAAGTGACAATAAATCATTAACCTGTATTGAATTACTGATCTGCTGTAGCTCCTAGTTCCTTTTCTACAAAACTCCTGCCTAGCCAATAGTTTCCCAGTTTTTCTTCTATCATTATTTTTACATTAAGACCATTGTGATTGTTTCTATTGATTTGTCCTCATCTTTTTTTGTATCACCTCTCTATTTTAGCCAAATCTTTGAGTCCTACATTGGTCCTTTGGAACTCCTGCAAGTTCTCAAAGCCTGGTGTCATCTGCAATTTTTCTAAGCATTTTAGCTGCTAATTTGCAGTCCAACTTAAATTAGTTCTAGTTAGCTCAGGAGAAGCCCTTTCAGGGCTCATCTGTATAGTCCTCCCAGGCTGACAATGATCTTTGGAAAACTGCCCTTGCATGTTCATTTTATAGTGATTTTAGCTAAGCATGGTTTCACTTGTTTGCTTGTAAGAATGTCTCATGGGACAGTATTAAAAGTCTTAATGATGGCAAACTGCAACACACTATTGTTTGTTACTCACTCAGCCTTGAAGTACAAACTCAATTGTTCTGCCAAGAATAAATCCATCTATCAATGTCAGCCATTCTTGACAGCTTAGTAGCCGCCTTCTCTTTAAAAATTTTTCAGTATGGTTCTGATATATTTTCTAGGTGCTCACAAGGAAGACCTGGCTTCTGGTTACCTTGGTCTTCCTTTCCTAGGTACAGAGAGACAGTATTTGCTTTTTGTCAGCCTTCTGACACCTTTCCTCACACTCTCAAAGGTAATAACTGAGCGTTTGGATCTTTAAACAGTAACTTGATTTGCTGTAAGTGACCCAAATAGACTTCACTCCAGCCTCTCTGTACTCTGACCTGTTCTTTTCCCAATGCATAACGCTATGCAGAGACTGTTAACTTTTCTCTGTATACAAAGAGATGACATTTGACATGTCCTCTGTAAATTGCTCTTCTTTAAATAGCAGACCAGACTGTTTTTTTTATTTTTGCTATTCTTACTCCTAATGTGTTTATATAGCCTTTTCTTACCTTTTATATCTTGTAGTGGCCTATGAAGTAAACCTTCCAGCTGGGAAATGAGTTGCTGCTAGGTAATCCTTGTTAGGTTCCCATGTTTGTAAGGGAAAAGAGTGTATTCCCATTTGCTTGTAAAAAAAGCTGGACTTTCACTTGTGGAAATGAAGGTCTGGAGTGTATAAGAGTTCAGCACTTCTGAAAAGTTGACTTGATTTAGGTTTAGATTCTCCCGTTATTCTGGCAGAGGGGAACTGTATTAATTTTAAGGAACCATGTCTGTGTTCAGGTAGCATGAGAGAAGAGTGAACAACTGCACCTAGCTTGGTACAGCACAAGAAATAAGGTTCTTAAATTTTCAAATCAACTGGCAAATAAAGAAAAAGAACTCAGAAGTGAAATAAGAATGAAAAGAGAATAAATCAGTAATATGGAAGCCAGCTAAGAGGCGGGCTGGGTGGCCTTTCTAGCTTGAATATCTGCTGTTCAACCTAAGTAACTGTATCAGAAGCATTTTTCCTGAAATACCTATGGAACATAGGTTACAATATAAGCTTTAGCCTTCCTGAACAACAGGGTTGCAGTTTTTAAGTGCCTTTGACTTTTAATAAAGAGATTTTACCCTCTCAGTTGTGTGCTTTTGATAGTGCTTTTCAGGCTTTCTTTTTTTTTCTGAAAAATTTGCATTTGTATTCATCTCCCCTTATACTAAAAGGAGACAAAAATACAATTGGTGGATGGCAGAATTCCTGGGGAAAAAACAAAAAGAGCCCCACGTCAGTAATGCGTAAGGGAATACTGCCAATGAAGTCTTTTTTTAGCCTGGAGTTTTTACAGGCTTATTGCTTTTAGGCATTGGTGGTGGGTTTGTGTGTGTGTGTGTGTGTGTTGGGGTTTTTTTTTGTTTGTTTGGTTGGGGTTTTTTCCTATCTTCTGCAGACAAGAGGTCTCAGTCAGCCCCTGTGAAGGAAAAGTATCATAAACTGTGAAATGCTCTCTTCCTTCCTCCGGAGATTCCACTGGCAAAGCAATTCTAATAGAGTTTCCTCTACACAACTGCTGAGCTTCTGCCATGACAAGGAGGAGAACTTACCAGTAGGAAGCTCATAAAATTACTTAAAAAAGTGAATCTCCAGGAAAAGGTGTAGGTGTTTCTGCCTCCTAGCTCTAGGGCGGATATAAACTGCCCTGGAGCTGTCTGTAATTTTTCTGTGTATACAGTTACAACAGCTGATCAATGTTCTAGGAAAAAAAAAAAAGGCTGCCCTGTCAAAACTCATTTTCATTAGTTTGTATTAGAATAATGTTTACAGAGCCCCTGTGAAGTCAGGCCCTGCTGGATGATGTACTGTGCAGGTGCGTTAGAAGTACCAGCCTCTGTTAGGAGGGTTTACAATCTGAAGGACGCAGGCAGAGAAAGGTTGGCAGACAGGAAATATTTTCACTCCCAATTTACAGTTGAGCAGCTGAGGCTAAAGAAACTGCCATCCTGACATGATGCCACCTGGAAGTCCTGTTGGTCTAAGCCAGGCTGGCCCAGGCCTGGGCTTGCAGAATGAGTCTGTGACATAGCCAGGAGTTAACTTCAACTTTCCAGAGTTTCTTGATGGTTTGTGTTTCTAGCTTTTCTAGTTCACACCTGCTAGAAAGTGTTCCTCTCCCTACAAATATTGATTTTTTTAAATTTTTCTTTTTTTTAATCCTTGCTTTAACTAATGTTGATGTGCTTTCTAGGACCTTGCTTCAATTTCTAATAAGCTTTCATATTTTGATAGTTAACTGAGGCTATTTTAGAATATATTCTTTATTCTATCCTCTTTTATGTGATGGAGTCCTTTTATGGGCAGAGATCTATTAAAGTCTGGCTCCTTGGCAAGCATTTTTTGTGGAAAAAATTGGGAATTAATAGCAGCCGAGATCTTAGCTTGGAATCCAGGAACCACTGATTTTCATTCTGTATGTACAGGCTGAGGGTCAAAAATTAGAGCTCCAACATGCACGGTATAAACTATGCTTTGCAGATATGAAGTGGATGCTATCCTGTGTCTTCCTATTGCTGACAACCCTTGTTAAGTCCTTTGGCTCACTAACCTCATCCATAATCATGAACTTTATGGCTGGAATACCAGTTTGGCAACTGGACTGTCTGGTGGAGCCTCCATAGTAAGAGCCTGAGTGGACATGGAACGAGTGGTGGAGTGACATGGCAGATCAGGGCACAAGGGAACAATATTGCTTTGTATCGACCAGGATTGGGCATGCTGGGGAATGTGGACTCTGTGACAAGCTTCTGGGGCCATGTCTTTGGACAAGGCTGAGAAAGGAGCTAATGCAACTGTTGCTCGTGCTGCCTGTTCCCTCGGCATAGCCTTCAACACTACTTGTTGAGGAACACTTAAGTGAGCGTATCCAAAACTACTGAACACAGCATGGCAAGTCACTGTCCTTGTACTGACGTGGGGTAGGAGTGAAGGCACATGTGAGGAGCCAGGAGTGGAGTGTGGTGGTGCAGCCAGGAGACTGTTGTGGAAGGCAGTGGTGAGCCTCACGCTTACTGCTATTGCACATACACAAGTGCCTGTGAGCACTGACCAACCCGCTGGAGCAAAGTGTCTGTGATTGCTCAGGCATGTGTCTGTACCGTGGACACCATGTGACTGCTCTGTGCAGTAGTATAATTAATCAGTGTGTACACAATAATTGTGCATTAATTCAGTATGAGACTCATGTATTGTCTTGTCTACCTGAAATATTATATGCACCTGTTCACTAATTGTAACTTGTAATATTGAGTTAAGGATATTGGAGGATATGGCCCAAGGGACTCTTCGAAGCTGAGTCCACATTCCAAGCATGACTACTACAAGCCACTGATGATAATGGATTGTGAGCAAAACCCTAGAAGAGTCCTGGCAATCCTGGGGCTGGTAAACCTTACCACAAATGAGAACTCTGCACAGCATGCTGTGATGCACAAGAAAGGGCTTGTCCAATGCAACAGTTCCCATCTTTTAATCAAACTTAGTTAATCACCTTTGAGTGTCGGTGATTTTTTTGCTGAGATCCCAGAAGTATTGGCACCTCTTTGCAGCAGAATGGTATGCTAGGTGAGAAGCTGGAATCTGCTTATTCATGCGGCTAACTCAAATGAGCTGTCTTGCTCCTTCCTGATATCCTGGAATTGTGTGTTTCTGTCAGTAAAACCATGCAATGCCAGTTGGCAGTTTGTCAGCAGAGTGTGCCTTTGTGGGAGGGTTGATCTGGCAAGGGGAAGCATCAGGCTTAATGTGTGGGGAGGGCCACATCCTGGGATTTTCCAAGAAATTTTTTCCATGCAGAATTTCCCGTCTCGCGGAGGACAGACCAGTCGAGAGAATAAAAGGCTGTAGTAAAGGCAGAGGATTACACAGTCCAGACACTTGGAGCTGAACTTAATGTTCGAGTCCATATTCAGCAACACAGCAACGGAGAGCAATCACTGAGAAATATCACAGAGGACTTTTGCCACCTGGCCACCACAACTACAACCTGTAAGTATATATGGAATGTGTTGTTCTGTTTCATTGCTCTGCTAAAGGAAAACTGGACAGGTGGAATCCTGTGTTGGTGTTCTTTAAAAGCTGTTCACATGTAAAAGCTCTCTTGATATTAAGAACTGTTTTAACATTAATAATTTCCCCTCAAAATGGAAATCTTATTTAACTCTTTAGAATAATTGTTTAAAAGTATGTAGAAAAGACTGCACAGGCAATATTTTGTATAGAATTGTAAAAAGTCTATTTTTACAGTTTTAGTCTGTATTTGTTCTTTACACATGTTTCATTGATCTCTCATAGCCATCTGCTTAAAACACAGGAGAAAACTCTCAGAAACATGATTTGCTCGTGGTTCCTACCTCTTCTTGCTTATGGTAAGCATGTATTTCACTCTGTAGAAAACTGCTTGGATGGCAATATTAGTGTGACAGTTCTGTTTGAGGACAGAGTTTTTGAACCTGGCCTCATTAACTGGAGGCTGGGTTCACACAGAAAATCCTCTAGTTGCAATATCATGTTTCCCTGCTGGCCTATCAAATACAGAACTGGCTCCTGTAGTTTGCTATGAAGTCTGCAAAGCTGTGTGTGAACAGAGTTTCACAGGGTGAAATCCCTTCATTTCATGCTGTTTTGAAACTTTCCAGCTGATTGTTTATAAAATAATTGCCAATACTATTTATGTGGTTTCAGATATAGATAAGTTTGCAATATTTATATAGCTTTATATATACTCTTCTAGATAGAGAGAGGAGACAGTCAGACACCAACTTTTTGACATCTTTTCATTCTAGGACTTACAATACTGCAGGGAGTGAGTTGTTGGACATACCATTATTCGGACACCAATATGACCTACAAGGAAGCAGAGCAGTGGTGCAAAAAGAGGTATACTAACATGGTTGCCATTCAGAATAAGGAGGAAATTGCCTATCTCAATAAATTCTTACCCTTCAACCCGGGTTACTACTGGATTGGGATCAGAAAAATTAATGAGGTGTGGACGTGGATTGGAACTAAGAAGGAACTGACAGAAGAGGCAGAAAACTGGGCTTCTGGTGAGCCAAACGGCAAAGGGAACAACGAGGACTGTGTTGAAATCTACATCAAGAGAGGGAAGGATGATGGCAAGTGGAATGATGAACAGTGTGAGAAAAAGAAGGTCGCCTTGTGCTATACAGGTATGGTGTGATAAGGGTCGCTGCAGCCTCCTCTGTGGAGGTGAGATGCTGGGTGGGAGAAGTTGTTTAACCTACTCTCTTATATTATCTACCTGACCCTGTAAGCACTTGCACACTTAGTTACATGGCTAAGTTTGTTCTTGTTCTAAGAGCTGAATTATTCTCATTTACCTTTTAGCTCCCAGAACATTATCCATCTTTTATGAGCAAATCACCAGACCTTCTCTATAATCAGTGGAGAGGAACAGGCTCTTCTAGATGGTGACTTTCATCCCACTCTCAAGTGGATGTCTCAGCTAGATAAGAACTGCCCATTTGGAGGCATCTGCCTCCTGACTATAGACCACTGGGTTGGACACTTTGTATAGAGGTGACTAAGGATAAATCAGGGAAAAAAAAAAAATCCAGGTCAAATATCAGCCAAATTAGAGGTGTGGTGGATTAATGAAGAATGTACCTGTTGAGGATTTCTGCCTGCCCCACAGTATATTGTTCCTTTTACATCTTAAGTATTACTAATATCTACCCAAGAACAAGTGGTCATGGAGTTTCCAGACAGTAGATTCCTGTCACTGAGAGCAGCTCGGTCAGAGGTGTCAGTTTCTGAAATCCTTCTGGGAAATGACAGGATAATCTTACCTACAACCTCCCATTTTTCTCTTTTGCTATACAAGTGCTCGTTTGGTGCCAGGAAGATAAACAAAGTGCTAGCCAGGTTTCATTAATGGCCATTGTTCTAGGTTTTATAATTTTTTTTTTCCTTTTTTTCCCCACCAGCTTCTTGCAACCCATCTCTCTGCAGTGGCCGTGGAGAATGCATAGAGACTATTAACAATCACACCTGCCACTGTAATCCTGGATTCCATGGGCCTGAATGCGAGTTTGGTAAGATTATTCTGCCCTGCTCTTCAGCTAGGGCAATGTTCATGCTAGCTAGTGTTCTCTTTGTCTGGCTTGTTGATTTACCTGCTTGGCCAGCGAGACTGACTGTGTACCTTCTTGTGTCTCTTTGAAGTTGAGAGCTGTGATCCACTGAAGGAGCCTGATCATGGGAGCCTTGACTGCAGCCATCCATTGGAGAACTTCAGCTACAATTCATCCTGCACAGTTCAGTGTGAGGAAGGCTATGAACTGACTGCATTGGAATCTGTTTACTGTACCTCTTCTGGGGTCTGGTCTGCCCCCCTTGCAGCATGCAAAGGTGAGCTTCTCAAGCAGTGATAGATGAGCTTTCTACGTTATACATTGCTCTGTGAACTTCAGCACTGCTCTTTTAGTAGGTACAAGTTGAATTTCTGGCCTGTTCCTTTGTAATTAGTTACATGGTGAAGGTCTTATTTTATTGCTGCACACAGGTCTCCTTGTTCCTGAAGAGATGAAATGGGCAGGATGAATGTTCTGACCCTGGTGTAGATTTTTTAGGGAAAATTTTTTCCACTGCAGTGGGGAACCGGGGAATGGAGATGATCTAGCTGTGAGACTGCTCACAACAGGCTAGTTCTCTTTGACTGTAAGAATTATTTTTTGAGGTGTTCTGCTTAGAATAAACTACTGTTTGAAGCAAATAAAAGCATGAAATGTCACCAAACAGCAGTCAAAAAGGGAAAATTTTCTAACTAGTTGCTGTCATGAGCTACAGATGAATTTACAGCCTTGCCTTGAGAGTCAATCTGCCATTTTGAGATCTATCGGTTTTCTGAAATGGCAATATAGTAGATATCCTTTCTAAAGCTGATTCCATTTAGTGGATATATTGCTAAGTTTCAGGAGAGAAAAATAAACTTCACGGTTTGTTCCAAGCTAAGATCTCTGCTGTTTCGTATGCTTCACAGCTGTGACCTGTCCTGCCTTAGAAGTGCCTGCTCACGGTGCTGTGAATTGCTCCCATTCCTCTGTGGAGCTCACCTGGGGTACCACCTGCGAATTCACCTGTGAGGAAGGATTTACCCTGACAGGACCAGCCACACTGCAGTGTGGGTCTTCTGGGGCCTGGGACAGGCAGCAGCCATCCTGTGCAGGGACCTTTCCCTACCCCTGCTCACCTGAGCACCTGGGGCTGTCAGCTTTGTTGTGTTGAGTTGCTGAGGCACCTGTGCTGATTCCTGTTGTGATCTGTGTGTTGCAGCTGTGAGATGTGAGGCTGTAACCTGGCCAGAAGGCGGCTTTGTGACCTGTGACCACAGCCCTGCAGATCTCACTTATCGCTCACGCTGTGATTTTGGTTGCAGTGAGGGCCATGTTCTGGATGGCCCAACCAGCATTGAGTGCACGGCACAGGGGCAGTGGTCAGAGCCAGTGCCAAAATGCAAAGGTGAGACTTTTACTGGGTTGAAGATCATCAGTTAAAGCTTAGAGTAGCTCAAACAACCTGAAGAGGCTTCCTCGTTCAAGTGTTGTCAAGGAGTGACAGTTATCCCCAGCACGTTTGTAGCACTTTTCACAATCAGGTCTCAAGACTGGGATCATTTAGCCTGTTGTATTGAAGAAGAGCAGTTCAAGGTGAAAAGCAACACTTGGGAACTTTGTCCCCCACACATATGCTAACAGGCTTTTGAAGTGGAGTGTTCTGACAGGAACTCTTTATTTCCTACAGCCCAAATAGGAGTCAGTTTCTGTTTATGCACTCCTCTTGTGGAGTGCAATCTGGAGCCAGCCTCAGGATACCTTGAATGGTTTAGGTGTATGTTTGGGGGTTCTGGCTGCACTGTGCAACATGCTGAAATCCCTGTTTTCTGAGGTGCTGCCAGGTCTGAAGGGAAGTACTGTGGCTCTGTAGGAGACAGCTCCAGGCAGGATAGGTCCTCTTGTCAGCTCAAAGGAGAATGTTTATCCTTACCTACTCTAAACTAAGCTGTGCTGTCTCTTGTGTCTCACAGCTGTGACCTGTCCTGCCTTAGAAGTGCCTGCTCACGGTGCTGTGAATTGCTCCCATCCCTCTGTGGAGCTCACCTGGGGTACCACCTGCGAATTCACCTGTGAGGAAGGATTTACCCTGACAGGACCAGCCACACTGCAGTGTGGGTCTTCTGGGGCCTGGGACAGGCAGCAGCCA